CCATACCAGCACTAGATTCCGATCGTTCAGTTTGTATGGCAGCTATATGTTATAGTTAACCAATCTGAACAATTTCTTCGGAGATTATATTGTTGCCATAGAAAATAACTTATGCCAACTTTAGTGAAGATACATTGTCAAATGTGAAAGTTTTCCATACAAGAACTTGATTCCGATCGTTCAGTTTATATGGCAGCTATACAAATGAGTAGCTTCTTGAAGAGAAAATGGTGTTTGCAAAATTTCGAAACAATATCTTAGAAACTGAGGGACTAGTTCGTATATATACATACAGACGGGCATGCGGACAGACAGACAGACGGACATGGCTAAATCGAATCAGCTCAACATACTGATCATTTATATATGTATATACTTTATAGGGTCTCCGACGCTTTCTTCTGGGTGTTACAAACTTCGTGACAAAATTAATATACCCTGTTCAGGGTATAATTAACTCTTTACCAAGTAGCGAAAATGTATGAGAAGCACAGAAAATCTTCTCAACTCAATGCTGCAGCATTTACAAACTGTAATTGGACCAAATGAATACTACACAAAGAAAATCAGATATACATATGAATGATTTCTCTTTATAATTTTTGATGTTTTTGTTCCATAAACTTGAAGAGTTTTAAGTAACATTTTAAAAAATATAATGTGTATATGATATCACATAGCTAAAACTTAAATAAGACGAAGGACATATCAAGTCTTTTGCACTTTCTTTTAACAAGGACAGTACATACATACATACTATGTATTTGTTGCTATTGAGTAAATCACCCGTTGGCTGTATGCTTATTTGAAAATGTACATACATAGTTTTCACTCATTAACCCAYACAATGATGCTTGTTTAAAAAAATGACAAACGTTGTGCTTGTAATCTTAATTTTACTTTCACTATTATTAGGTTTGAAATAAAACTCACCAAATGATGTTGCTATTTTATATATCAAGAATTATTTGTACATTTTTTTTGTTTTAATATATTTAAAAAAAAACATTTCACACCAACAACAGAAAAATTTTTAAGTTAACCCAAAGTAAAAACTTTTTTTGTTTTGAGCAACTATGAAGGAAATATCAACCAATACAAAAACATAACTTGTCAAATAAGCATATTTACATTTATTGTGTTTCTTAGCCGGTGCACTGTGTAAATTAAAATACAAACTTATTGATGATGATATTTATAATCTTTTTATTTTTGTGTTAATACGTCTGACAAGATGGTATGGCAGGAATTATATATTATACAAAGAACGTTGTACTTTTCAATACTATAAATATTAAGGAGTATCTTTCTATCAGATCGTTGGTAATGGACAATTATCATTTAACTTTTAATTGGATATATGTGCACTGAATATGTAAATTATTCATAGATTATATCTAAAATAGTTTTTATTTGATTAAAATAATAATGAATGAAATTATATCCAACACATCTCGTTAAAATTGTAGACATTTCAACATGGGGGATACGTATAAAACAATTTTTGAATATTGGCGGTGTCTTCTTTTTCAAATTCGATAACTTGTGACCATATATGTGAATATACAACCGCACGAACCTTCAAAGAGACTTACAATATGTTTTTTATGAAAGATACATTTACGAACGAAAAAACGATGAAAGTGTAAATATGAGAAAATAAAAAAAAAGTGTTTATATATTCTTGAAAGAATAACTGATATTAAGAGCTTAGAACTAGTGTACAAGCTTTTACGTATTATTTGTGTATATACACACATATTTATCTTGTATCGATAATGTATATATATATTTCTTAACTTAATCTTACAATTTATTAATTTTTTACTTCAAAGTATACAACTGATTTCCGTAAATACTGATTATATAAGTAACATGTAAATGCGTTTATAACGTGTTCTCGGATTGATCCATTTTATTAGTCATAAATCAAACATACTTATGTAGTATACTCCCATAATAGGGTGCACACACATATTTATCTCTAAATGCACTACCTATATATAGTATATTTGTTTGTAAATAGTACAAAATGTTAATTTACAATAATATATTGTCTTCTAAATATCATTTCCAATAATTTATAAAAGTTAAACTTTCGTTTTATGAATCTATAAATAAATAGAGTTTTTTGTAAGAATCATATTGCGGTTTTTACTATTTACAATAAATATCGAGAACACAAATGCAAATGCACATATTTGTAATCTATTTTCTTTAAAAATATTTTATATATGGTATATACATATACAAGTGCTAAATTTAACATTATAAGTATACACAGTAATCAAATTATGCAATTGCGTATTTATTTTAATAATTAATTTGGAGTTTGTCACCATTTTCATTGACCATAGGAACGTAAAGAGTTGAATATCAAAAAAAAGTGAGAAATAAAGAAAAATCAATTTTTGCTTTCAAAATTTCAACATCATACATTAACAACTTAAATCATAAATGATTACAACATTGAATTTCAAATATGGCATACGTAAAATGAAGAACGGAGAGTATCACATATAGTAGTACCGAGTTTATTTTAATTTTCCTATATAAATACTTGTGTACCATTTTTGAGGTTATCCGAGATTTCTATGAATATTGTGGTGATTCTCCTCCAGATGTAATTTTCTTCACTTGGCTAACATCATCGTATGCAATTGAAAATACACTTTTTTTATCTGCGATGGGATTTCTCCGACCCGTATTATTTAGCAACGAATTCATTGCAATTCCGGAATCGTGATCATCTTCTAATGTAGATACATTAAGTTGTTTTTGACAGAGTTGGTGCGTACTAATTTTTGGATTCGAGTTGACAGAATTTGGATTTGGGTTAATTTTCGATGTTGTAACTTTGATTTCATTCTCCTTAATAGGCGACGGTTTAGGTTTTGCTTTCGCCATCTTAGAAACAACAAATGGCGGAGTCTCGGGATACATGTAATGTGGTAATTTTGTTGGTGGTAAAGGAACCTCCGGAGCGTTTTCGCGTTCAAATCTATGCTCTGAATGTTGTAAAAGTGGATGGCTAGAATCAGCCTCAATTTTAGGATTATGCTGTTTATTCATTACAATATCTTCTTTCAAGAGTCTGGTATTTTTTTGAGGGGATTTTCTTGGTGCAGGTTCGGGTCTACTTTTTCCATCTTCAGAAGGAATAGAATCGGCATTTGAACTTAAACGGGTTTTCGTTAAACTTCTTTTTCTTTTTGAACCTGTATCGGACTCAGGCTTGCTATTTAAACTTTTTGATTTGCCATAATACCACTCCATGTATTTTGGAACAGATTTATCAGTAATTTGACCGTCATCATATTGATTATTCTGATGATTCAAATTGGTTGCACTTTGATAAAGACGCTCTTTAGCTGCATGATTTGTTTTAGCCAATAAAGACATATGTTTCATATTATCCATTCGACGGTGTGGAATTCCCGATGAACTTTGCGACCGATGCCTTCCTTTTAACGTTGGCCTACGTGACTCTCTGACGTTGGTATCCGGCATTTTATGAGTAGATCGCTCGTCTTTTAAGTGTATTTTACAGAAAGTTTTATCATTAATATCTATATCAGAATGTTTTTGTTCCAAATGATGGGGTGTTAATATATTTCTTTTAACAATAATTTCCTCAGCTTCAGAATCATTGGAATAATCATTTTCATTATTATAGTCGCAGTTATCGACTTCGTTGTTATCTGTTGAATAGTATTCGAATTCGTCAACTCTAATTGTTCGATAATGATCTGGAGTTCTACTTCTATCGCCTAAGGAGTCAGCCATTATTAAAGTTTCGGGACTAACTGCGGGACTTTTTCGATGTATTGGATTACAATTTTTCTGCTTCTCTATATAGTTCTTACCTCTAAGAACACTGGTTTTTGTTTCAGCATGTTTACGTAGGGGTTTTTTGGGAGGAAAACGTTTATTCGACTCGAATACCTCATCATCTTCCTCCTTAATGGGTGTACGTATTTTTCTTTTAACTTCCTCTACCATAACAATTTTCTTTCTTGGATGTATACTATTGCGGTATTTACTACGCCTTTTTTGTTTTTTACGTTTTATCCAGAATCGACCTACTGTACTTTCTGGAGGACTAAATTGTACATACTCATATTCATCTTCGGTCAAGGAATCGTCATTTTCGCTGCGAGCTTTGGGTCGTGTTGGCCTTCCTTGCACATATACAGAAGTTTTTTCAGGAAACACAATATTATTGTCTGTCTGTGTACACACCTCACATTCCGTTTGTGTTGCAATCGCCACAGGGTGACCTGGAAGGCTTTGTGTTTCTAATACAACTTCTGGCTGTGCACCGTTGGCTTCTATTTTTTCCTTCTCCATTAGTATTTGACGCAGTAGTATATTTTGTTGCTTTAAAGAATATTCAAGCTCTTGTGTTAATGATTGATTTGATATAGATGGTTGGATGCGACTTATGAAACCCTCAGTTTGCAGCTGCATCCCACCTTGCGTAGGCTGTGTATGTATTACCTTTACTTCAGGCTCGGTTTGTGAATAAACTATACTATTCGGACCCGATTTGCAAGTAGCGAATGTTTCTCCTTTCAAAATGGAGTGGTTGTGGTCAATTTCATTTGGCATAGACTGTATGTAAGTGGCACCAGGAACTATTTGGTAATGCTCACGTATTATCTGTTTACCATCAGACTGTTCCTCAATAAAACGGCGCATTAGAATTTCTTTTCCACTATTATCCAACATTACCAATTGCGGCTTAGAGACAGTCGTTGATTTCATTGGCAAATTTACATAAATGTTATTTTCATCATCCATTGCTGCAACATCCTCATCAGTTCTGTCTCTAGTCATAAGTTGCAGTATTTCAATATTTCCATCTTTGATGAAAAATTCCCGTTTATTTCTTAAACTGCTTCGAGCTGTGTTATATTCGATATCACTGCCGCGTGCAATTTCATGGCGACGTACACAATCTTCATCAACTTGTTTGATTTCGTTGTCAATTCCTTGGCGATGTTTTGATCCTTTTTGTACTTCTTTGCTTCGCTGAAAGTGATCTTGTTCTGTTATTGTTAGTTGCCGCTCATCTCCTATATCTTCTATATAAACGTCTTTATTATTTATTAAGTTGGTTCTAGAATTGTAAAATACATCATCTTTTTCTGTGCGGTTGTTCCTATAATATAAATTGGTATTTATTTATTTATTTAATTATTAAATGAAAAATAGTAATACAATTATTATCTTACWGAGTAAGAAGCACTAGCTGAAAGGGCTAACGGCTTGGTATTAATTTATAAATTATATTTATTATTACAGTATTCAACAGGAAAACATCAAATCAATATATCAAATTCAACATAAAAATAAATTACATAACATGTAAGGAAGGGCTAAGTTCGACTATAACCGAACATTTTATATTCYTGCAACTTGCTAGGCACAAAGGCGGAAAAATATCTACAGGTGCATAAAGAGTCAAGTTTTCACCTGATTTTATCCATTTTAGGCAGAAAGGTTACCCGTCATTAGAAAAATACTTTCTCTCAATTTTATTAAGCTAATTCACATCTTTTCTGGTATATACGATAAAATGTCAACCAAAAGTTCGAAAATCATATATTATATTGGGTATATGGGAGCTTAGAGAATTATTGATCCGATTCCACCCTTCTTTGACCCCGGTTCCTAAAAGACCCTTTTGTTTGTATAATCCCATGTGTAAAATTTTTGTTTTTGTACTTACTGATTTTTCCTGGATTGATTAAGAGATTTGTAGCTTGAGTGGTTTGTGTGATACATGTACATTTCGATTAAATCAAAGTCGATTCGTTTTAATTGATTTAATTAAATTAAAAAATAGGTTTGATGGCCGTATATCTACTCCCGCTTTCGAAGTACGCGCTACCGTCCGTGTTTTATTTAAAAATGATATTTATTATAAAATATTACAGGTGGTCTTATAGGTTTGATGACCGTGTATCGACTCCCCTGTCGAAGTACGCGCTACCGTCCGTTTTTTTTTTCTTATCAAAAAGTCTAAAGTATTTTCTTTTCAATTTCATATTTGGTCCAAATTGAGTACGTTTTATAGCTACTACATCATTCACTCTATAATTTCGATTTTCTTTCCGTTTTCGGTTATAATTTTTACGAATAACCGAAATGTTTTGTTTGGCTATTTGTCGTGCTTCGTTTCGATCTATCTCGAACGATTCAATAGCTTCCGTCTCCATAATTTTATCTAATCGTGGAAAATCCGAAAGTCTCATGTCCCATCCTGTTAACAATTTGAATGGTACTATCTTTGTGGTTCTCGGAGGAGAGTTATTTATTATTGTTGAACTTTGCCAATAAATTTATACCACTTTCGAAAGCTTTGATAGCATGGGAATTATTATCTTATGTATACGCTTCACTTGGCCATTTCCCCTTGGTACTCCAGTAGTAATAAGTAAATGCTGAATATGATTATTTGTGCAATAATCCTCAAAGGCGTGCGATGTAAATGCCGAACTTTTATCTGTAATGATTGTTCTTTTATTGCCATACATGGTTTTTTGCTTCGTCAATCGATCGAATACGGCATCAGTGCCCATATCTTTTGTGGGATAAAGCCACACAAATTTCGAAAATGCATCCACAACTACAGTTGTATAATTATACTGCTTTCGTGTCGCCGTGAGAGGACCAACATAATCTATGCGGAACGTCAACAAAGGCTTATCCTCTTTATCAATGGGCGCTAAAAAGCCATATTTTTTTTACCACATTTCGAATTGACGACAATGCAGGCAATGCAACTATTTACAATTTCCGTAACTTTAATTTCTGGTTGAGGAATGTAAAAATCCTTCTCTAAGAAGTCCTTTTTTTCACTGAATGGCTCCATCTATGATGGCGCAACATTCAGTTGTAAATCTGGGTCTTTATACAGTATATCGTTATAGATGTAAAAATCTTCGTAGCTCTTTTCTTCCAAAATCTTTCGAACCGCTGTTGTCCACATATCTCTCATTTCCGCCTCTTTAAGTCGATGTCTTAATGAATTCTTCATCATCAAACAAGAAATTCTGCTAAGAGCGTCTACATGTCTCATATGTGTCCCTCGCCTGTGTTCAATAAGGTAATCATATTCCTGAAGATACATAGCCCATCAGACTACGCGTAAAGGTACGTCTCTTGTTTGTTAAGTCTCTGTTGTTGCTTTAGGGTTAAATAGTCTGAGAACYGGTACCTGAATAAGAACTGTCTTTAGTTGTTTGAACGAAATTAAGTGTTCGTCACCCATTTGAAACTCTGCGTCTTTCTTCATGATAAAGGTTTTGCGATTAGTGCGAAATTTTTAATAATACGACGAGAATAAGACATTAAGACTAAGAATCTCCGTAGCGCCTTCTTAGTCTGTGGTAACGGAAATTTTCCACAGCTTTCGTTTTGCCTTCACTCGTCAATTGTTTCAATAATATTGTTCAATAATATAGCCTAAMAATTGGAAGCACATTTTTCCCCATTTTATCCTTAGTCCCTTATCAGAAGCTAACTTCAACACTTTTCGTAACTTCCCTAGAGCTTCTTCTTCAGCTTTCGCTGGTATTACTAAATGATCCATATACATATGCAACAACTGTTCCATCTCGAATATAATCTCTTAATATGGCATGAATGTAGCGACAGAAAACAGCGGGCGAATTACATATATCAAAGGGTACATACTGAAATTCATATTGGCCACTATAAGTTACGAATGATGTGTATTTGCGAGAACTCTCATCTACCGGTACATGTAGGAAACCATTTGCTACATCTAGTGATTATATGTTTGCTTCCCTAAGCCTTTGAGGACGTCGTCAATTAAGGTCATCGGGAAATTAAATTATTTAATATATTCAAATCTAGTTTACGATAATTGCAACAAAGTCGTTTTATCATTTTTCTTCCATACTAGTACAACAGGCGAAGCGTAGTTTGACTTGCTTATCTATGATTTAATGCTCCTCATAACATACACTTCGTGATGGTTGGTAAACTAGAACCTCGTCGGTAAGAATAACTTTCGTCTTTTTTATGGTCTACACTGTTCTAGCATTTGCTTTACCGCTCCTGCTCATTTTTATTCAAATGAGTTAAAACATAGTCTTATTATATCAACGTTAAAAATAAATTTGAAAAAATATTAGTCATTAAATCATCATTGTTTGTTAAGTTATCTTTGACTCTCATTGTATCATAAATCGGCACAGACAACTTTTCTCTAAATTCAACCTCATTTTCACGAACCAACATACTGAATGTTTCAATAATAGATTACCCAGAATGACTTCGTAACTAATGTCATTTGTGGCTACTACATGAAACGTCAGGTCAACAATACTCTGATCAATTTGTACTTCTATATGAAAGTTTCCTATCGTTGATATTTTCGCTGCATCAATGCCAAATAACTGCTTTTGTTCCATTGTTAGCTTTATATATCTGTCCAATTTATTAAATTTCATTTCATTAAACACAAGTTACAACCAGTATGGATAAGCGTGCTCACCTCCACATTACAAGTCCGTTTATTTTTAAAATTTATACTAAATCTTGCAAGTTCGTCAATTGAATTTACACGACTGTATCGGGAACACTCAGCCTTCCCACCTTTTATTACTCAAAAGATCTTTGTCCCATCTTCTGTCACTTAAAGTATTTGAATTGTTTCAACGGACAATCTCTAGCTATGTGCGAAGCTTCACCACATTTCTAACACCTTTGATCGATTATTAATGTCAACGAATTCTCCTGTTTTATTTTACATCCGCTTTCTTCAGATTTTCAACTTTTGTTAGTGCTAATTTTAAAGAATTTCTCGCGGGATTGACTACCTACATAAATTTTTGCAGCACTCCTCAATAACTGTTTTGTATAAAGTATATACTATTTCTGCATTTTCTTCTATTTGTTCGATCCATTTCTGCATATCAAACATATCTGTTCCATCAAATGTATAAGTAAGTTGATCGAGTTCAGGAGGTTGTGACGTTTAGCAATTGGAAACGTGATGGGCAGATTGAAATCTTACCAAAAAAGTATGTAAAGGGAGGGATTTGTTGCATTGTGCAAGACCACTTACAGAAAATGTAAAACAATGAAAATTAAACAAACTTATGAAATTTAAATGAAACGCTTGTAATGCCAAGCAGCATAGTATTATTTTCAATGGAATATTATTAAAAACATTTATTGATTAAAAGCTAAACAGCTTAAAACCTTTTATTGGGTATTGAAAGGTCAAAAGCCAGTTGTTTTAACATACCATAAAAATATTTAAATAATTTTTCTATGTATTAAACAACCACTATATAGTAATCTTTATTCGTACTAAATGTTGGGTGTTTTAATTTAAATGCTCGAAAATTATTATGCTGTCTAATTTGGCCATAATGGGAAATGTTATAAAAAACACTAATTTTGAATCGCTCTCACCTTTATCCCTGCCTCAGTAGTGGGTTACGATTTTTATAACGAATAAAAATATCGAACAATTTGTCTAAAATTTTGTATTTCTAATCAAATTACGTTTGCGGAGTCGTTGCGAATGTTGAAAAAGGCTTACGGTGATTCAGTCAGAGAATGTATAAACATAGAGAAGGTGCTGGTTCGATGTCGAACATTTTATAGGATTGTGATAGGGAATTCACCTCACAACCACAGAATTCACGATGTGAAATGTTAACAGTTTTAACAGTTCTCTCACATACTCAAAAAGAGAATATGAAGAGAAGTAAATATATGTATTTACGGCATATGATGACATGGCATATAAGCCCAAGCAGAATATGAAGAGACAGAAATATATGTATGCATGCCCCTGAGTACACTGTGAACGAAGAATTTCGTTTTGCCTTTCGTTTATATGTTATTCCATTTTGAACAGCGAAAAATGTGTACAAAACACACCTTTCACACAGAGAACATACAGACATTTTTTTATGTTGTCTGTCTCACATGCCCTAGAATATGAAAAGACATGAATATACATATGTATGCATGCTCATGATCATACTCCCAAACAGAGAATATTGAAGAAAAATAATTTCTTTGATATTCCGTGGGATTTTGTGTGGAAATATGTATGTAGAACTTTTTTATTTTTGATTTATTATTTTTCAAATTATTTAATGTTAATTTGAT